CCAGATTGTACCGTGGCGGGCGTCGGTACCAAATGTTGTTGATAACGGAAAGTCTTTGGCGCACTTTTACCATTACAAGGTACGAATCGATGTTTGCACCGCGGCAGGTCCTGACGTCGTTGATATCCGAGTAGTGCCTTCCATCAATCAAAAATGGTCGGTTTGTGATTCTGTCTGTAGTGGTGATCTCTAGGTGTACCAATGAGGGAGGCTTTGCTGTTAAAAGGTACTACGTAAGGCCATATTCTTGGAGGCCGTTGTCGTTCGTAAACTGGTGAGCGCTGAACATTCCGACAGCCGGTCTAAATTCTTCCTCCTGGCCAACCCGAGCGTTTAGATCTACGATAACGATGTTGACGACATGGTTTGGGCAGCTGTCGTATACTCGTTCCAGCTGCGCGTAAAAAGCGTCTTTATCATCATCGTCACTTCTTAGGTGTTGGCTATGTACGTCGATTACGATGACATTGAAGAAACGACCTTTGATCCTACACTTGCACATTCTGTTGTCGATTGGCTACCACCCAATCATGCGCTTTTGCATTTCACCCATCACGATAAAAGCTGTACCCAGCTTATGTGTGTTGCCGCAGCTCTGGTAACCATCCTTATACGTATGTACCGATGATCCCTTCCAGCAAACCTCCCGCAGCACTACAATGTCGAACTTGTGGACCCTCAATAAGTCGGATAGAATGCGGTTACTTCCCAAGAAATTGAGAGACTTACAGTTCCATATTCCGAGTGTTCAATTGTTCCGGTTTGTATTTACATTGTTTGCTTTTTGAGCTTTACGGTTGGCTTGTAGGGCCTGCACCAACCCCCTGTCTCACCGGAGGACCATCGTGCACAGCTCTGTTTAGAGTCCTAAGCTGTCACTAGGACGGTGATTAGCCGCTCCTAAAATGCACAGCAAAAAATTAATTTTAATATTACATCCCAGAAGATGCACTTCAATCATGTCGAGAATCTCATTGTAATTTTAATGGCCACAAAAATTAACAATTGCAGTAACAGCAGCGTTATGTCAGTTCATGCTGTGTATTAATGATAATTTTGTCCTTTTTTGAAAGTAATATTACACAATATTTTTAACACGGTTGAAGTGCATCCACTTTGATGTGATATCAAAATTAATGTTAATTAATTAATTAATTTAGCTTTATTTAGGAGGCTTTCAGCCTTAGGCTGGTTCGCCTCCGACCAAAAAAAAAATTAATGTTTTGCTGTGTGGAGAACAGACACCGTTTTGAGCCGCCCCAAACATGGAGAACAGACGCTCGGTTAGGCTACGCTCGGAGAGAGAAGACCCCCCTCCCCTTCCTTGTCAGCATAGGTCCCACCGGGGTTGGTTACCCGATCTTTCCTATGGTTCTCGTATCCAGCCAGTCACAGCAAAAAATTAATTTTGATATCACACCAAAGTGGATGCACTTCAATCGTGTCAAAAATATGGTGTAATATGACTTGCCAAAAAGGACAAAATTATCATTAATACAGTGCATGAACTGACATTACGCTGCTTTTACTGCATTTGTTTATTTTTGTGGTTATAAAAAATACATGAGATTTTCGACATGATTGAAGTGCATCCTCTTGGATGTAATATTAAAATTTATTTTTTGGTATGCACCGCGAGGAGGTTACTGGACAATAGGCTAAGGACCACAAAAGGGCCAATTTTATACCTGCAGATACGTGGGTTATCAATGGCTCTTCCAGTTAAGTGGATTTAAATTACTTGCTTAGCAACATATTGAAAAGCAGCCAACCACTGGCAATTAAACTAGTCTATTTAAAAAAGCAATACAAATGTTTTGCCAATCAAAAACCGTAAATGTTGAATAAACAGCACTAGTCGTCAAATATATACTGTTTTCGCGCCCTTCCCAACTGGTCGAATGAATACTTGATTTTGCCTCGCCTGAGTACAGATTTTGACAAATATGTACTGTATAACGGGGTATCTTTGATAATAGAATATAATGATTAAATTTTCATTCTGCACTTTTTACCAATTGGAAGCATTGGATCCATTTTGTTGTTTAGGGTATTACATGTTATATCGTATCGTATATCATATCTAATTATTGTGTGGCTACAATCGGAGTTTTGGTGGTGATTCGGTGGCCGACGTTGTCGTAAAACAGCAAGTTTTCCGCTTGCGAAAGTGCCCGGTTGCTGGTCTCTCGCCAGTGTCGGCGATTGCGAGCACTCTGAAGGATGCACTAGACACGAACCTCCTCCCAGATGACCATGGTAATACAAAACAGTTTGTTTTTGTTCAAGGAAGTATTACGACGAAGGTAATTGCTATTAGATATTTTTGTAAACAGGTGCCGGGCAAAGGTGTTATATCCTAGACAAATGGTAAGTTCCAAATCCGCTGTTGCCGTCGTCGTCATATTCGCCGTTGTAGTCGACGTAGGTTGAACCATTCGTATAATAAAAATTAAACATCAACCGCTGAAACTATATGAATTATCACGTATTTCTGTTGTTCATTACATACCAAGCGAAAATTTAACCATATTTTGTCGTGGAGTGTTGTGATTTTAAAATGCTCGATGACCTTGGAGGGATCGTTTTTGCTAAATGAGCAGAATATCATAGGTTTAATCCCAAGCTCTCCCACAACAGAATAAACCACCATCGCTGGAATCCGAGAGCATAAAGCGCAGTTAATGACCAAAAGTTGAATTGTTCAAACCATGAATTTCGGAAAGGGTGTATGCGTTATCCAGTTTGAAAGACATTGTAGGCTGCTTTCGGGGGCGTCGCTCCATTTGAATAGCTTTTTGTTAAGTCGGTCGTAGATTGTGGTAATGTAAGAGGCACGGTGGCTATAGAGCAGGCCTGTCCAACCTTTCCAATCGTGCTTTTTAAATGGCTGTATCTATGCTCGATTAACACATTTCAAGTTGTATTTAGTTTATTTCACATTCATTCTGGGCTATAGTTCATAATTATGAATAAAATTGGACTAGAATGATATTATTGCTGAGATCCAGAGTGACCCGGACGTGAGCGCTGCTATAGAGCAACCGTTGTTGCTTAGGGCATCTTTAGCGGTGGTCTGATCTAGATCCAAATTTATGTCACATTTGAAGCAGCTAAAATTAAAAAGATCAAGCCAAAATAGATCAAATTGTGTGCGTACGCACCAGTTGGTATATTTTTGGCCGTTCTATTTCAAACGTCAAAACCCGAATCAAAACCAACTCACACCCTGATTTCGTGGGGAGCCATTTTTTAATCTCCTGCGCATTCGTACACGGTTTTTATCCGGCAATTACCGTGCAATTGACCTCCGATGGCTGTCTCCGGGATTGATGTGCGGCTTTAGCAAAAAACCTTGAACTGCTCGTCCTCCTGCTCCTCGTGCTTCCCAGTGAAATAATAATAAAAACCTGTATTTATTGAAATTTGTCTGGTATGTTGTTGCGTGTTGGGTTTTAGCCCAAGTCAGAAACTGGACAATTCCCTGGGGGGTACCTGGAACATACCAGAATGTGGCCAATGTGGATCCAAGCACTATATTTGACTTAAACTGATCTTGTTTTTCAATTTCTGTGATATTTTATGTGTCAAATAACAGGGTTTGGACCATATCAGAAACTAGTCACTTCCTTAGGGGTTCCTGAAAGATGCCTGGAAGTAAGAAAGGTGATCCTGGCCACATTATTTGACTTCCATTGATCTTGGTTTTGAAATCTAATGTGATTTGCTATGTGGCGCATGATGAGTTTTGAACCAAGCCAGAAATTGGCCACTTCCCTGGGAGTTTCCAGAACATGCCCGGAAGTGACCAAGGTGGTCCTGGGTACTTTATTTGATTACCAATGATTTTGTTTTTGAATTCGCATGTGATTTGATGTGTCGCATAATAGGTTTGCAACCTCCAGAACCGGTTGACGGAATCCAAAAGTATTCAATAGCGTTCAATGGGACCACAGGACCAACCGGTGAACACTCGTGTTTATTTCAGTTACCGTGGGGACGTAATTTGTGATTAGCCCAGTCCCTTTCAAATTGTATCATTATTTATGTACGGTCCTTATATTTGAAATGACGTTTCACATTCATCTGGTGATAGCCGATTTTCATTCGAATAATCGATTAATCGATTAGCGAACCGAAAAGTAAAATATTTGTAATCGGTTATATCATGCCGATATAAGCATTAACATCTCCAGTGGTGGCGGGGAGGGGGGGACACCCCTCACCACCCCTCTCCAAAGGGGGAGTTTGGTAAAGAGAGATGAAAAAACCGATTTGTACCTTCCTTAAAAGATGTCCTAGCTCGCTATTCTACTATCTATATGCAATTTTCACACTGCCGTACTCTAACGGAACTATCAACTCTATACTTTCATCTACTCCATCTATCGTATAAAAATTACCACTACAGTCTGTTATTTGAAATTAGCATCTTCAACTATCTCCAGAGGATCATCACTGATCGTTCAAACATGTGCTGCACTCTCATTGGTGGAAAAATGGCAGCACAGTGAACAAAAAATAATCGATTAGTTGTTAATCGAGTAATTAAAAAATGGGACATCTCTGATTTTGGTGTGATTGTTTTGATCAAAATGAGCGCAAAATTTTATCTCTACCGAGGGGGCAGCAAAACCACAAAATTACCTTGAATACGGGGGGTATTCATTGGATGAAAGGGACCGTGAAAGAGGACACTAAAATCGAAAGTTTTTCTTCCGACTGTTTCATTTTAGTATTCATCTTTGACAGTACCTTTCATTTGGCGCTTGTTGTGCAGCGGTTGCTGAGAAGCATGGGCGTATTCATTTCGTTACACACATGAACACACATATACATTTTCCGATGTCGTTGAGCTGAGTCGATTGGTATGAAAAACTCGGCCCTCCGAGCCTCGGATCGAAAGTTGGTTTCCCAAGCGGTATATACCCTTCAAAAACAACATAAAAAATCCAGCAGAACAGAAGCGTCCGGATGTTTCCTTTGTGATCCTTTCGCAGCTGCGACGACAGGGCCGGCAGCAACAGCAGCACCGATAGCGCGAGCTATCGCTCTAGCTGGAACTACACCAATGTCAACAGCAGTCGATTGGTTCCGCTCACATTTCTTAGAAAATCGAGGAACTAAATCGGTTTATTTTGCAGAAAAAAACCCCAACAACGAAACAAAACAACACAAAATCTCGAGTGCGACAGCTGTCAAACTGTGCTTGCCTTGATCCAAATTCAGTTCAAAATAGATCGAGAATTATACTGTCTTAAAAAAATACATTTTAGAACTAGCCTAAATCAAAATATAGACCACCAGTTCAAAGGCTCGGTCTGGGTCTGTTCCAAAATTTTAGACCAAACCAACCAATTGGATCGCCGCTAAAGATGCCCTAATTGGTTAAAAGATCATGTGTGAAATTCCAAACCTCGTTACATTACTGAGTTGATCTAAGCAGGCCTCTATTGTAGAAAATCGTTAATCATATAAATCGGTTTAATGATTAGGAAAAGTAATATTTATAATTAGGCAAAAGTGACGTAAGCCTGATCTGGTTCGGAAGACATTGTTAGCTACTTTAAGGGATTTCATTTCATTGTAATAGCTTCTTGTAACCGATAATGAACGATTGTCGGTCGTAGCTTGTTGTGATGCAAAGGGCACGGTGGCTTAAGAGCGATCGTTTTTGTTTACTGAGCAGAAGATCATGGGTTAGGACCCAAGTACCTGAAACTATTGACCGTAATGGAATTCGGTTAATAGGACGGGTACGTAAAAAAAAATAATATTTGAGTTTTAGGAAAGAACTGTTGATTGGAAATCAATATGAAATTATTTTCAAGGGCAATTGTTGTCATCGTCGGTAAGGGCGTCGCCGGAATATAAACATAGTAACAACAAATTGAACGGAAACTGGTGGTGACCGATTCTGGTTCAAACCCAAGCTCTTTCGCGCTATTGAATCGTTAGGACATGAATTCAGCATATCGTTTACCAAAACTAATCCTGCCGCAACCCTTTTATCCAACATCTCGTTGATTTCTCGTGTAAGTGCAGAGGTATTCTCGGCTTTCATTAAAGCGAGTATTACGTCGACATATTCCTACCCATTCCTTTGTAATTTTAGATCACCAGTATTTACACATTGAGGATGAATGCTAGTCCCAAGCAACGTCTATTGGTTCTCGGTGTAATTTCTCAGTATGTGTTACATATTTTCCAAATATCTTAAAAAATAAATAAAGGCACTCTAACAATCACTTATTATATGTATCTCCGAAATAGCCATCACAAATTTAATGTTGTCTTCTTATTGCTTATGATGCTTCTGATTATATACTCATTCAACGATTCATATTTCTTGAACTAAATTGTATGCAATTAAAAAAAAAATCGCGGATCTCTAGGACTAATTTCAGGAATTGATCATTTTGCTGCTGTTTCCGGATATCCACAGGACCGTTTTCTGGCCAGCGGTAGTAGAATGTATTGATGACATATTTTTCATCTATGCTCAGGATCGTATGCAGTTTAGATAAACTTCCCAACTAACATTTTCAGCTTAGTAAGCCAACTTTTCCAGCATTGTGCTGTAAAGTAGCTGAAAAGAAGCTACATATACAGATACAAGCAAAAGCTAGCAAAATAGTTTTGGAGAGCGTTTACTCAACTTTCTCACAACCATTATTCAATTTGTCAGTCGCACTGAATAACATCAGCCAACTATTCTAGAACCAACTAGAACACTATTCTAGACACTAAACAACCTGTACTCAGCTTATAAGCTGTGTTAGAGCAACTTCGGAAGCATTTTCACAGTTAACTAGGTTTATTTTTAGACGTGTGCAGTTTTACAGCTTTTACTCTGATCTATTATAACTAGTCGAGAAAAGTGATTCTTGTGCTCTATTATAAAGCCTCTACTCAGCAATTTTGTTGTAGAAGGGAATGTTGATTTGTTTACATAAGTTCAAAGTGTTGGCGTAGCACAGTTGGTAGTGTCAAGGTTTGCCAATGAGGTCGTCTCGAGTTCGATTCCAGGTTCCGGTGCAGGGTAAATAATTTGGTGATGATTTGTAACTAATTTCGATTAATTTGATTTACAGCAAAATAAACTCAATAACTTCCTTCATAAAAAAGCGTAAACAATATTTAACCCGGCTTCAAGAGAAAGCTGTGTAGTGATTATTGGATAACCGGGAAAAGGTTGAATAAGCGCCTTTCAAGTTCACACACAACTAAACAGCAGGATAACAGCTGTATAGAAGCGTTAATGGATATGCAATAAGAGCTTCTCCCGACCGTTCCAACAGCCATAAGTAGCTGAGTAAGTTCGCCAGATTTGCTTGTATAGAGGTTGAGTAAAGGTTTCTTCATATCGTATAACGTTTGAATACAGCTTGAGACTGTATAAATGAAATGAGTAAAGCGTTTACATTGTGAAAATTGTTAGTTGGGTTATGGATCTCCAGGTCTACTTTCAGTAATTGACCATTTTCCCGGTGATTCCGGATCTCCAGAGGACCATTTTCTAGCCACCCAGCTGCATGTTTATGATTATATGCAATTTAGAACAAAATCGCGGATCTTTATGACTAATTTCATGAATTGATTATTTCCCTGTGAATGTGATTTTTCGCAGAGCAACCTCTCACTGGTTTTCCCGTTCTGACAGACCAATTACCGGTCCATTCGTTTCCGTCTGTTCCGTTCGAAAGTAGATAGTCATACCTTTCAAATAGTGGCTGAATCTTAAAAGTTGGTAATCAAATGTCAACTTGAATCGACACGCATTTTGTTCGGGACTCTTCCGGGTGTTTTCGTTCTGACTGGCCAACACAAGTCCAATCGGGTTTCTACCTGTTTAAATAAAAGTCATACCTTTTGAATCATAACGCATTGCCTAGAACCAGCCATGCTGACATGCATCGACACGCTGTTTGCAGCCTTGGGGTTTTGCCAGTTAATTAGGGCCCATGCATTAATTATGTCACGCTAAATCGAGCAAAAAATTACCCCTCCCCCCTATCGTGACGTTTTTCCTATACCTAATGCATTGCTTGTCACAAAATATTAGAACCCCTCTCCCCCCTTAGAGCGTGACATAATATATGCATCAACCCTTACGTTAATGCCGTTAACGTCTGCGATAATGTCTTCATGCCGAAAACGTGTCCGACGATGCACAACGATGACTGGTGTGGTTTTGGCGCCAACGATGATGAAGCGCGTGCTACTAACCCTGCCAGGGTGTGGAATTAACGAGCGCAAGCCCTCTTCCGGTGTGCCGGGAAATTTCCGTAGCCGACAAGTGGAGTCATAAACGATCTGGTTGTGTAATGCGATGATGGCCACAAACCCAGTGCTGAGTTGCATCACGGTACTGACAGCCTTTAGATTGGCAGAAGAGATTCCTACGGTTAACAATCAAAACAACTGAAAACCCCTTTCTCCGTAAAACTTCTCACCAGTATGACACAACAACCGTGAGATATCGTTGTTTTGCTTTTCTCACTCATTCGCAATATCACTAACATCTGTCATGTGGTACCATCACAGTTCGAAAAAGTAGTATAAATTTCTGTTCAATGTGATGCACATATAAGGAGCGTCACATATCATATAAGTTTATCTTATATATCATGTAAAGTTCTAAACGGCGCCGGTGGTGTAGTGGTAAGCGTGATTACCTCTCACCCCAGCAGGCCTGGGTTCAATCCCAGTCGGCGCCGCCGGGATGTTCTGAGGCATAACATCTCTGATCACGCCTTCCTTCGGATGGGAAGTAAAGCCGTTGGTCCCCGGTTCATGAGTTGATGGGTCGATAGGTAGGGTCCAGGTGTGGGAGCTGCCTTCCTGGCACGTCGGTAGCATTGGTGCTCAGCACGGAAAACAAGATCGACGGATAAAACAAACCAAAGGAAAAAAAAAAATGTAAAGTTCTGAGACATTTCATGCAATTTTTGCAAAAAGCCCATTGTTGTAAACAACATTGTTTACAAGTTGCTCGGTTGCGTGAAATGAAATACAAGTTTGCTTGAATGAATGTTTACATCACTGTTAAAATTCAGAATTTTTATTTGTGTAATATTACAAACAAAACAAGAAACGGTTATGTGCTCATGTTATTAACGAAAGAGAAAGTCGACGAAGAGAATCGATCAATGTTACTTAAGACCTAATGCAATGTTCAGCTTGATTTAACCAGAAATTATTATTGTGAGAATTCATGAAGATTTTGTAGCTATTTATTTTTCCGGATACCGTGACGCTTGAGCTCCAATAATAAGGTAGCTGACCGCATATCGTATCTACATTACCGAAGTCCAAGTATCAAGGGATCCGTAAACGTAAAACCAATAAATAATCCTTGCATAAATACGAATTAACCTCATAATATTGGAATTGTAGCTAGAGGTGTTATTGTTGAGTGATCAAACATTGAAGTGTTGAAAAAGTCATTATATATCTTTAGGTTAAACACAATGCAATATTTGCTTGCTTTACCACAGTTCAGGATTAGTTCAGGAAAAAAAGTTGACAAGCTTGAAATACAAGGGTCATACAATAACTTAAGCTGTTTCTCGGGATTTTTCAATTTATGCTTACACAATTCAAGACCAATAATTGAGAAAGCCTCAACTCCATTTTGCAAACAAACCACGTAAGGCCATTTTCTCGCGAATCGAAACCTACATTCACAAACCTGAAACCTAGCCTGAAACCAAAGACATCATATCAAGAAGACTGGCAACTTTTCCAGAATCCAAGCAACAGATACAATGTCGCTGCGCTTGAGTGAAGGTAGAAGCAATGCATCGAAAAAAGATCAAATACATAAACCTTTCTTCTGTGGATGTAATCTTTACCTGGGTACTGCGAACACAACCGTTTTTGTTTTGCAAGTCAGCAGGAAACAACTTGAAAATTTTCCGATATCACAAATTGTTTTGCTAATGCACTGCTCACAATTTGCATATACATGCTGTCGAAAGTTCACCATTTGCTCCATAAATAACGTGTACATGGTGTTGGGAGTGCACCTACCCACATGACTCTTATAAAGTTTGTTTGCATTCTTCCTTCAGCAGTTCGTACAGGTTTGTTCGTTCGTTACATTGTTTACATCCGAGTATTTGAGCAAGTTTTTTTGTTGAAGAATATTAGTAAAAAAATGCCGAAATGACTATATTTTCAACATTGACCACAATACTTTATCTGCCGACGGGGATTGTATGAGAAAAGTATCACTTTTAGCAGCTCTAGATCGTTGGATTCTTTTTGACAGCACCAGTTGGATTCTTTTTGACAACCATTTCGTGTTTCTCCGCACCACTCAGATCTTTACTATCAAATTTGTTCGAAGCATTTACCTTTGAGCGGCAGATGACGCGATTGTACCTGTCTCATAGCGTTCGTATGAGAAAATGGAAGTGTTACCAGTCTTTTTGATTTGTTGTCTTCGCTGAAACACAATCGGGAAGAGCAGAGTTTCTCCGACCTGTTAATTTTGCGACAAATTAGCTTTACAAGGTTTGTTTACAAAATGGAATTGAGGCCTTTGCAATTGTTGGTCTTGAATTATTGCACGGTGCATTATAAATACACATTTTCTTCAAATGAGGTTTCAACAATCAATGCAACCATTGGTATCCATCAACAAAGAAAACTTCAAATCGTTACTTGGAAGCCCGTAAGGAAACGCAGTGTATTTCAATAAATCTTCGTTAAAATTAATAGTGAATTCGTTTATTATTCAGTTCCAACCTGGATCGGGTATCAAGATTGGATCTGCTTGTTTTCTGACAAACGTCAGTTTGTTCATTTGCTTTAAACGCATATCAGGTTGAGGGTCACACTGACAAAAAATTTAGATTAGCACTTATTTTGTCGAAGGTCCAGCAGTTGGTCCTTGTAATTTTTCGGAGCAATTCACACTTTTTGCACGAAACAAAACCTAAGGGGGGGAGGGGCTGTCAAATACGAAAAATCGTCGTCTACCTTGCATAACTGGCTCCAAACGTAAACAAGCCATAAGAAACCTACAGGGTTTGTTTACGTTTGCAACCAATTTCATACAAGAATGATCAGTAGGCTGATTTGACAGCACGTCCCCCCCAGACAAAACCACGTTGAAAAGCCAACTAACATTTTCAGCTTTATAAGCCAACTTTTCCAGCGTTCTGCTGTAAAGTAGCTGAAACAAAGCTGCAGATACAGCTATAAGCAGAAGCTAGCAAAATAGTTTTGGAGAGCGTTTACTCAACTTTTTCACAACCATTATTCAATTTGTCAGTCGCACTGAATCCAGCATTTTACAAGCGCTTATGGCCGCCACAATCTGGCTATAAGCGATCGTAAAATACTGGATAACATCACCCAATGAACGCTAATGTCAATATTAATCAACTTTCAACTTGTAGCTGCAAAACAAAGCTAATCAAGTGAATATATTACTCATTTGGTGGCTTCTATACAACCAACCACTCTTGCTCAATAACATAAACATAAAAAGTGCTTTTTCAACAGCTAAACAACCTGTATTCAACTAATAAATTGTTGTAGAGCTACTTTGGAAGCTATGTTACAGTCAACTAGGTTTATTTTTGGACTTGTGTAGTTTTACAGCTTTTACTCTGCTTCTTTACAAAGCTGAATTAATTAGTCGAGAAAAGTGATTCATGTGCACTATAATAAAACCTCTACTCAGCGATCTTGTTGTAGAACGGCATGTAAATTTGTTTACGTCTGTTCAAAGTGTTGGCGTAGCGAAGTTGATAGTATTAAGGTTCGCCAATGCGGCCGTCTCGAGTTCGATTCCAGGTTCCGGTACAGTGTAAATAATTTGGTGGTGTTGCTTATAACTAATTTCGATTACTTTGATTCGCAGTAAAATAAACAAGATATTCCTTCAACAACAAAAAAAAAACGTAAACAATATTTAACCTGGCGTCAAGAGAAAGCTGTGTAGTGTTTATTGAATTATCGGGTAAAGGTTGAGTAAGCGCCTTTCAAGTTCACACACAACTAAACAGCAGGATAACAGCTGTATAGAAGCGTATATAGATATGCAATAAGAGCTTATCCCAACCGTCACAACTTGCCATAGCTGACAAAGTTCGCCAGATTTGCTGCTTAATAGTGGTTGAGTAAAAGTAAAACATTTGAATACAGCTTGAGGCTGTATAAATGAAATGAGTAAAGCGTTTACATTGCGAAAATTGTTAGTTGGGAAGATATTAATTAATTAATTTAGCTTTATTTAGGAGGCTTTCAGCCTTAGGCTGGTTCGCCTCCAACTGGGAAGATATTTGTTTTGACAATAAAATTCTCGTGGGTTTGTCAATTGTGAGTTGTGTCAGTTTTGAGATTTATTAAGCATCGTACACAATGACGCGTACGTAAAAGAAAATTGATATTGCCGATGGAACATAAAAAAAAAGTGAAAGTGGCTTTAATGTGCATGTTCAGAAATGGCATTTTTGAAGATAAACGAATATTTTTCTACATTGTAACGTAACAGCTCCCACATATTTATTTGTTACGTTTTCTTCCAAATGTTTCGTATGTTATAAACTTAACAACTTTTGACAAGAACAGGAAAATGAGGGAGCATTATTGTCACTTCCCACTTATAAATGCCCAACAGAGATGATTAGTAAGTGACTGATTTTGCTACTCTCTCCTTGTCAATTAATCTGTCATGGATGGCTTTTATGAAGACGGTTTATAAATATGGACCAACAGGGAGAAAGACGGTCTAGTGAGGTAGAGGTGTTTCCAAGTGATATGTTACACATCAAATTTCGATTTTGAGTTTCAGCAAAAAAAAAATTGCTGAAATGGGTTCAGTAAAATACGTTTTTGCTGGAATTCAGTATAACTATTTTTATAAAAAGCCCAATTAATTTCCTTAAACTTTGCTGTTCACAGTTTTTTAATCATACGTATGAGTTAAGATATAATTAATTAGCTAAACTAGCTAGCCGTATATGGGGCCAAACAGAAAACTTTTCCCATACCGTCTCTTACTCATAATTAATTATATCTAAACTCGTGCGTATGATTGAAATACTGTGAAGAGCAAAGTTTAAGGAAATTAATTGGGCTTTTTGCTAAAAATACTTTCGAGATTGAACACTCACGAATAACATCTCAAAAGAGTGAAAATTGTTCAAATTATGCGACAAGTGAATTTTAACCTACGAGTATCTCGAAAATATGCCCTTTTCAAGTGTTAGTCGTGTACAAAACTAGGGAACCAAATATGTGAAATAGCTTGTTGGACAATAACAAACAACTGTGCAAAGTTTCAACATAATCGTAGAAGGTCGATCGCTAAATTTAAAAAAAAAATCGTCATTTGAAATGGAACTGCTGTACTATCTAATGCTGACGCTCAACTAAAATAGGAAGAACAAACCATAGTGAGCATTACATTCAATGCACTACATATTAAACGGGGTTCGCCTCCAAAATCACTGCGTGAGACTAAGAATTTGATCACTCAGGCCAGAACGAATTGCTTAAATCAAGTCCTTAGATCCTCAAATTAGGATGGGAATTCAAATCTTCACTCTCAGATTTGTGTCATTTCGCGAGAGAAATGATGAAGTATCTAAGTTTGTTTTATAATCACGGAACGTGCCAGAATAAGGCGAAATGGAGTGTACTTTGTCGAACAACTTTGCAATTCCCTATTTTCATATCCCTTCTATGTCAGAAGTGAGACAAATATTCGGCCGGATCAAGAAAACGGGAATATGTTTAGCTTGCGTCAACGCATGCGCAATTCTTTCAAATCTGTTATGGATGTTATCTTTAGGTGGCAAATTGCGATGCAGACACATATACACATTTTGCTCATAAAACTATTATTTGGACTTTCAAAATCGTTTTCAGTGCAACAATTCTCAAAAAAATTGTAATAACAAAAAATTCAAAATTTTGACCAAAAGATGTTGTTCTATTATTGTTGTTCAGTTTTTAGTGTCCAAATTGAAAAGGGCGGGGAACTGTTAATTCATGGATAAAAAAATACCTTGAACATTTCAAACAACACAGCTGTCTGCTATCCCTCCTAAGAGATGAACTAGCCTTCGGCTAAAAATCTCTATAATAAAGCTTAAACAAATGTTGCCCCTCCACTATCGAGACTTGTTCGAGTGCAAGCGACAGTTACATCACGCACTTTCAACCCACTGCGTAGAACCACAAACAACTCATATCTAATCGATGGTAGCTTTCACCTTCTGGGTGCAGGACCATCCACATTGGTGTCAAGTCATTTCCACATTCTCGTGTACATATCATTCGTAACACTCGTGGTCACGATGTTACGACAATTCTTTTTCGGTAGATAACAGCCAATTCGCGTGCGGTACATAATGATAGAGCACATTTAACGATAAGAAGTCACCTTTATTGCAAAAAATTTAAAAAAAATCCGAAAATGCCGAATAATCCGAAAGAGCGTTAATCTATCTGTGTGTTTTGTTAAACACATGTGATATCTTGGGAACACCGGGAAATATGTTAGCATGGGAACCGTAGATAACGCTTGATTAGCAGTTGATATTGGGTCACAACGAAGCCGTATAAAAAGATCTGTTTGCTTTGCGGATTAATTAATCAGTTTGTAAGTCTCCAGACAAAGCAGAAGCAAACATGAAATTCCTCGTCATAGCATTGTGCATCGCTGTAGTCCTCTGCTTGGGACAACTAACAGCAGGACAAGTTATCTCCACGGGACTATGCCCAGTGCATCCCGTTCATCAGAACTTCGACGTTGCACGGTATCTGGGACTGTGGTACGAATATCGCCGCTACGAACAACGCTTCCAACGCGACGGAGAATGCGTAACGGCCCAGTATTCGTTGAACGAGGATGGTAGTGTTCGGGTGTTCAACAGCATGATGGTTCCTCCCGTCCAGGAGCGAGTTGTCGACATTGGACGCGCTATTGTGGCCTTCCCGGAGGAGGATCCTCTGCAGGCGAAGTTGAATGTTACCTTTGAAAGTGGTAAGTGTGGTGTTGAGCATTTAATTTGCAAAGTGCATTTATGAACGGCTATTATGTTTAAATACAGCACCAGGAGACGTGTTCGGTGACTATTGGGTGCTGGATACGGACTATGACAACTTTGCCGTCGTGTGGGGTTGTTTCCAGCCGGGAACTCTCATCCGTGCTGAGAGTGCATGGATTCTGTCACGTGAACCTAAACTAAAGGATACCATTGTGCGACGAGTTCAGGAAACGATCGAGAAGTACCTGGACGAAGATTTGTTGCGAAGGACGATTCAGGATGATGATTTGTAAGTAGTTGGGTGATATAGGTAGGCTACCTAGCAGGAGTAAACTGACATAACAATTTGTATTTCCAGCTGCTGCTCGGTCGAACCGGAGGTGCAAACCCATCCTGCCTGTGGGTTGAATATGATGAGCGGACGTCATGTCTAGTTGCGTATATTGCAACTGACGACATTGTCGATGTTTGGAGTTATTTATTGTTTCTAGTTATTTTAAGTTCTTCGTATTAAAATAGAAACAAAACAAAAACTAAACTGAGAAAATATAAATTTATGACTCGACCTCCTCCGATTTGCCTGAAACTTTGCATAATTAAGTGTTATGGGTAAGCATTGACATTTTTGCAAAAATTCGGGCGAATTGGATCTTGTATTTTTCTCTTCAAAATGGCATCTTTGTCATTTTCAATAAATGGTAGCACTAAAATGTCACCTCTTAAACCAATGCACTTGAAGCATCGCTCCAGTTGCTTGGTAACTCGAGGAGTGGCGTTCAGCGAGCACACTGGCCTCCCAACCTTGACCTTGGTCGTCTCTGCAACTGTCGTTTGCATGCCGCCGAACGCCTTCCTCATCCGGATTGCCATCAGGACATCTCCCAAATCGCAGTGCACGTTCTTCGCACTTCTCAGCTCGTCTTTTGTAGTGATCTCCTCCAGATCTCTGCACTCGACCACTGTCTCATGGGATAGAGCTCTTAAGTTCGTCCCTTCGCCAAGAGACTTTTCGACGAGCTCAGCCTTCAACTCTTGATAAATAAAAAAACGGTGGCCAAAACCCGCACCAGGAAGCTGTACCGACGAGACTTACATCAAGGCGGATACAAAGGAGTTGCCGGGGTAGGAGTTATACGTTGCCACATCACGGTTGGCCGATCCTGAGGAGGTAAAGGAGAAAAAGCTGGAGTTTTTGTTTTGGCAGGCCATCTGCGGGTGCGGCGAGATGAGCCAGCCGTACGTCACGACGAATACCATCAACGGGCAAATCTTTTGGGACGAGTGCCTCCAGAAGCACCTCCTACCCTTCCTGCGATCTTACGGAGGTGAAACGCTGTTTTGCTCGGATTTGACATCCTGCCAGTACGCGCGGCCGGTGTTAGACTGGTACAGAGACAACAATGTTGGTTTTGTACCAAAAGACGTCAACCCACTGAACTCGCCGGACATTCGCCTGATTGAGAAGTTTTGGGCCATCATGAAGGCCATACTTCAACGGCAGCTATGTTTTGCATCAATAAAGCAGCGCAAATGTTCCCCCAAAATAAAATAAACGCTCCATTAAATTTGATACCGTGATCTTCACGATGTGTAAGAAATGTTCATATAGGCATGAGAAATTTCCGTAGATATTGAAATAAGGCACACTTTAAATCATGAAAATGCTCCATTAGAAAAGTGATGTTCGTCATGTTCTGTTCAGGAATGATACCTTTTAAATGTAGCTCTAATCACTATATTAAAGTAAAATTTCCATACAAGAAGAAACATTGCTTCCTAAACTGTAGGTATTTTCACCATATGGCAAGGACAGTGCACCGTAAAAATACATGCTGGCTAATTAAAAAGACCGCAAAAAACATATGTAGGATAAGTTATTGCTCCTTATTTGCTGTATATTGTCCTTTGGAAATAATAGACTATATCACTCGGAAGACTATGAAGGATGCAAATAAAAGCTACCACCAATGCACCCCTCGGTAACATAATAAATCGTGGATAATGGTCACCCTATTCGTTTTCAATCGCGATCAATTGTAACAACCAAAAACAAATAATCACACTATTGTGCTGCAAATGCTCCTTCATAAAATAAAAAAATACAACCCAAAGAGAGAGTCATTATCCCTTGTAAATACAAATGCTCCATTAATTACTCAAAGCTAGCAGCCACATTTTCTACCATTTTAAAGCGTAAATGCTCCAATATGTTTTAGAAAGGCTCAATCAATTCAGCTAAGTACACTATTTTTATGTGGCTGTTTTTACGGGAAATGCTCCCTAAATCCAAGAAGAATGCAACTTTGCTATTTTTTAACATGGGCTGGTCATCCAGAATTAAGAGCGATGAGTGGAATTCAGCAATGCAAATACAGTAATGACCCGATTTCGTCAGCCCCTCTGCGCATCAGACTTTTATATTTCAATAAATTCACATAACAGTAATTCCAAATCTTTCTCATTCATCTTCGAGGTGGATGATTAAGGTATATTTATGGGCAATAATACTACAGAAAAGTGCATGGGTTTCGTAGCAGCGATTGAATTGTTCTTCTTGCTTGCTCATATTTTTCCTGATGCAATCGCTTGTTACAAGATTTACTTAATTAAAAACGATGGTTGTAGCACTGTTTAATTAAAAATACAGCACTGCTACAATTATGTCTTCCATAGACATAAAATAACGAGAACAAAGCCAATACAAGATGTTTACAATTGATCGATTTGCAAAAATATACATGGAACTGATTGGTTTTTCTATTTAATATAACTGTTTATACACTATCGGTGTTCAAAAGAAGACAAAGTTTGTATAGTTTGAAAATGCATAATTTATTTATACCTTCATAAATTTCGTACGTTAGGGAAATTATTATGGACGAAGCTATTCAAATAAATATCTCTTCCAGGGTAGGGTGTGGTAGTATCAAAAAATCTAACGTTGTCTTATAAGGGAGGGTAAAAAATATGCCTACGTTATTATTTAACGGTCCCTTGTACAAATGTCGGTGTTCACATTAAGACAAAGTTTGAACTGTTTGAAAATTAAAAATTTATTTATACCTGCATATATCATGTGATTAAATCCATGTTGCGCTGTTGATTTGATACAAATTCATTTTGCAAAGTAGTCTAGCAGATTGTAACATTATAACAGATTATTGAATTTCAGTCACGTGCACAGTAGTTCAGAAGCCAAAGTGTAGATGGAATTAATTGTTTCTGTTCAAATCGTGTGGTGTCTATGGAAAACAGGTTCAGTGATATGGTTAAGGTGGTTCTTACGGTTGATGAGTTCAAAATGTACATTTTTTAGTTAAGTAAAAAATGACTGACATTATAAAATTTGTGTTTCCAAACAAAATATAAACAATATATAGTATATATATATATATAGTTAAAATTGTGTAAATGGCTTTTTACGATGCATCTAAGAGAACATACTTTCATTCATCTGTGGTGAGACTATTGTGAAGGTTTTTTTTTTTTTACTCATTTAATTGACTATTAAAAAGGGTGTAATTTTATAATAAAAAATGGTGTTTAACTGACCAACAAAAAATGTGTTGTATTGGTTGTTTCACCAGCCTGGGTGCCAGTTCTGGCGCTTTTATTTAAACAATATGAAGAAAGCAAAAAAAAAACATTAACAACTTTTGATTGTATTTTCGATGGAACTTATTAGCACGCCGAAGTTTAGCGGGATAGACGCACCAGTAATGAATGTGCTGTTATGGTGTGTGGTCTATAAAACTTCCACATAATAGTATGTGTCTAGAATACACCTTAATAGGAACGTATACCATAACTGGTATGAGTGCAATACCTAAGTAACGAAGGAAAAGATGGAGTGAAAATTGGAAACCTGAAATGTAAATTTAGTCATTAGAACAAATATTCTTCTCACAAGATACTCCTGTCTTTTCTGCGCGTCGAGCCAATCTCTTTCACTAGTCATTCTTCTTCATGAAAATGAAGAGACACGTCACATGTCGTAGCTTTTATCATCGCATTTAGTGAAGAAGAGTCACACGATTTTCAGAAAAGGAGGAATGTCAAATATTTAAGATTTTCTTGTTAAATATTAGGTCTGCACTTGTGTTTTCTGTAATTACAGGGTTACTTCCACTCACTTGCTATAAAAAATTGTTTTTCAGAATGATGAAATCATTAGATGTTATAATGATAATTATTACTTGTAAGTTACCAGAACAGGTCGTGAAGTATGTGTTTGACACATACAATCTGTCAATATTGCTTTCAGTGCGTCACAATCAGCGATTTTACGATTCGTGAGCGCTCACTCTGAGTTAATGCTTACGAATCATAGGATCGCTGATTATGATGCTCTGAAACCAAAATTGACAGGTTTTCTGAGTGAAACACATACTTTAGACCCTCTTCTTGACCGACAAGTACAACATACCATTATATTATCTAATGATTTCATTATTCCGAAAAACAATGTTTCTAGCAAGTGAGTTGAAGCAACCCTGCTGCAATACATGATTTTCTTACAGCAATTTACAGCAAACGTAAAAAAAAACAAGTCCTGAAGCAGACCTCTTAACTCACGTAACATCTAAAAAATTACCATACCCTGCTTCGTTCAATCTCTAACCAGTGCTTTTGAGACGAATTTTGGACGACCCGTTGGTTTCTTAGAGCTGACTATTGTTGTGTTCGCCTCCGGCCGAAGGTGGTAGACTCTTTGCTTCACAGCAGCGACCAATATATGGTGGCACACGTTTGCTTTGAAGAATTCGATGCATGTGCAGTTCCATTTTAGGTGGCTTTCATCCGTGATTTGAACGCGGAAAACTGTTCCGATTTCTTTCGCAAACTGCTCAATGGACGTGAATTTGGGATTGCAGAATCTAGCAATATCTTGTGCGGTCAGATCCGTGCGTCCTCTGCCCGGCAAAAATACGTATGTCGTTGATCCATCTTGTACAGTTCGAACGGTTCCTCCGCTATTAATATATTGGAATGCTTTTCGTTCCTCTTGAATCGTGAAAATGCGGGCTTCACTTATCTGTCTCGCCGGATCGCCATATGCCTCTATTATATCACAAATCTTCTCCTTGAAGGTACCGAGTGGCTCCTTCTTTCGGTGAAGATAGTTGTACTTTATCGACTTGTTTATTGCTTCTACAGCGTTGTTCGTCGACGGTACACCTGGAGAATGTGCCTCGTGCCATCCGGAAAAGTAAGAATTATCAACGTACTTACGGAAAAATACTAGCAATTCCTTATTGTTGCTGTACTTTTCGAAAAATAGCTCGACAGCTTTCATATAATGCTCTTGAGTAGGAGCAACCTGTATTTGGCTTATCTCCTTTTCGATACAGGACTTTTCAAACTCTTCTAACGACGACTTCCTCAAGTTCTTTTTTAAG